GTGCTGGGTGCTCGTCTACGTCGACGACCTGCTCGCCGCTAGCAGCAGCACCGTGATGCTGAAGGAGCTGAAGGAGCTGCTGGAGGCTGCCTTTGAGCTGCGCGAGATCACCCCGGTCGAGAAGTATTTGGGGCTCGAAATCGTGCGCGATCGTCCGGCGCGGAAGCTGTGGCTGCACCAGCAGTCCTACGTTGACAAGCTGCGTAGGCGCTTCATCGACGAGGAGCAGACTGGTCGGCGTCCGAAGACGCCTGTTTCCGTCGATGCTTACGCGGAGCTGACTTTCGACGATGAGGACTTCCAGTCGCGCGAAGAGGAGGAGTACCGTCAGAAGGTCGGTTCTCTGCAGTTCGCTGCCACGACAACTCGGCCCGACATTGCTTTCGCGTGTAGCAAGTTGGGGTCTGGTCTGACGGTGAGGAGCGACCAGCACTGGCGCGAGGTCGATCGCTGCCTCAACTACCTCTCTGACACGCGCGATTTCGCTCTGGAGTTCGGAGGAGGACCCGAAACTCTGAAACTGGTCGGCTACGCGGACGCGGACGATGCCGGCGACAAGCAGAATCGCACTAGCACAAGTGGCTACGTTTTCACCTTCGGCGGCGCAGCTGTCTCCTGGACGAGCCAACGCATCAAGTGCGTGACTCTGTCCTCCACAGAGTCGGAGTACATCGCGGCCACCGAAGCAGGCAAGGAGGCTCGTCGACTTCGATTCCTCCTCGCCGAGTTCCAGCTCCTCGATGCTGGGGCGCCTTCTACTCTGAACGTGGACAACCAGTCCGCCATCGCGGTCGCTGAGGGCTTGGGGCTGAAGGGCAACCTCAAGCACATGGAGCGGCGCTATGCTTGGCTGCAGCAGATGGTGAAGCGCAAGAAGATTGCGCTGGAATACATCCCGACATCCGAGCAGCCGGCGGACTTCCTCACGAAAGGGCTGCACTTTCCGGCCTTCAACCGGTGCTCTGTCGCGGTCGGCCAGGTTCGCCTTGCCGAAGTCGGCGACGACGACGACGTGCAGCAGTAGGTGCCATGTCCTCTAACATGGCTGGTGCGGTGATCGGCGTGCGGAGGTGTGCACGCCAGAGAAATGTCCCCTTGTATTTTATTAGCTAGGTTCTGGGTGGACCTTGTGTGTGGGTGCCCAAGCGTGAGCTGGGCAGGGGAGTGTCGGAGTGAAAGGCCCCGCCCTCGCTTGGGCGTAGGCATTCTCTGCGACGACGTGGTGAATTCGACGAAGTGATCGTCGCATTGGATCAGCCCGTCCTCTGAAACCGCGGGTGGTTTTCGAGGAGGTTGTCCTCTGATTCACCAGCCCGTCAACGAGCTCTGGTCGACGGGGTGCTGTTCGACGAGCTCGTCTTCTGATCTGCTTCTGGGTCGCGCGATCTCTGACGGACGGGGTGCTGTCCGAGGAGCCGCGTTCTCTGATCGAAGGGCGCTGTTCGGCGAGCGTCAGCTCGGCGAACTGGCTGGCCGAATTCGCGCGACTGCGAAACTCTGCGAGGGCATGCGAAATTCGCTCAGGTGGCTCTTAGCGAAATTCGACCTCCGAAATGGCATCACGTGCTCGACGGCGGACATCTGACGAAACCGTCGGAGCGTTTTCTACCTGGCACCTGCGCAATGTCTCTGACGGTGCAACCGTCTACCTGCACCTACTCGGCAGGTGCACACCTGCGCAGATATTCACCTGCGAATGCAGCGCTGGCAGGCCGCCCTACTGCAGCGCTGGCAGGCCGCCCTGCTGCAGCGCTGGCATGTCGCCCTTCTGCTACGCTGGCAGACCGCTCTGTTTCAGCGTTGGCGAACCGCTCTGATGCAGTGCTTGCAACTCGCCTTGCAGAATGCTTGCTAGGGATTGCAATGCCATTCCAGAGATATCACTTTGCATGCTCATTCTTGTACTCTAATTCTCAATTTTCAATGTACTTTCAATTTCCTTAGTGGAAACTCTTGCCAAATCTCTCTGTGAACAGAGCAAGTAGTGAGAACTCTGTTAGAACGCTACTAGAGCGCTGCGATCACCCACACAACTCCGTGCCCTCCTTCGTAGTTCACACCCGTTCACACCTTCTCCCTTTCTGCGGTTGGCGTACTGGTCGTCGTCAGTCTTGTCTCGGTCGGGGCAGTCGTACGAGAGGCCGTCGGGAGCATCGCAGATGTAGCAACGGCGGCCTTCTCGACGCGAGCCACTACTGCCGCAATCTCCACCTTTTGCCGACTTTCCGCGGTCGGCACCTTCCGTTCGATGCCTTCCTACCACCGCCTCCGGCAGACTTCCCACGCTGCCCTTGTTGGCGTCCCTGCTTCGCCGGGGCGACGTAGTTGGCCTGCGGAAGCAGTTCTACAGATCGCTCAGGTTCCTGCATAAACTCGTCCTGGATGATGTGGCTCGAAAGCGAGTCCTCGTTCAGGGTCTCGCGCGTGCCGGGAATTGTCAGCATCCAGCGCATTAAATTGTAGCCCGGGGGGAGGCCGTTGATGACATAAGTGACATAGGACGCTACTGAAGTGTCGACGCCGGCCATCCGTAGATCGGCCAAGACTTGCCACGCTCGATTGCAGTACTCGGTCGCCGATTCCTGATCCTCCATCCGAATGTTGGTCGACTTCTTCTCCAGTTGGCTGATGTAGAGGTCGTCGGTCGCTTTGTAGGTGCGCATGATGTACTGCCATGCTTGGTATCCAGCGTCCACCTGTTGTCTGCACGACGTCAATGCGACCTGCACCAGAGGCGAACAACACCTCGAAATGATAGGTGAGCAGCGCGAAATTCCGCCCAGAGTTCAGAGTCGTCTGCGTCCGGCGTCGCAACATTGCCGTCGACGAACTTCTTCAATCCGGCGATCTCCAGCTGCGGTTCAATGGATTCGATCCACGTGATTAAGTCGTGGCGTCCTTCCAGCGGCCTCGGCACAGCGATCTTGTCCGGCAAAAAATTGAAATAGCCATACGCCGGCTCGATGCCTCCGCCTCGACCAGTCGACGCATGAGTCGCCGAAGTTGGCCTGACTCCACTCCGCAGAGGAGATTGACGTCGACCATCGACGTTGTCGTTCGAGCTGCCTCCAGTTGCAGACGATCGCAGCACTTGCGCCTGCACTCCGCCAATGCTGACTTCGGCGGGCCGAATCACTCCGCGAACCCTCGTGCTTCCACCGCCGACAACGTTGCCACCGTCACCTTCATTGTGCACGGGTCGGGCAGAGGAGGAGGCACCGTCCGCTTCTGCACGGGGAGGGGGATGCTCACGCGCCCACTGCGCACGAGTTCCAAGGAGCAGAATCTCCAAGTCCGCCTCGACGTACCCGCCAGCCTCGTGGTGTGCTCGAACACCATCCAACTGCGCCTGCAGAGTATCTTCTACTCCTGCTACAACCTCCTGGTCATCCATGGCGGTCTAGATGGCTGCCGGCCTACAACTTAGGTAATGAATGCAGAAGTCGGCTAATTTGAAGGTTCTAACACGGGGCCGGTCCACGCTCACCGCACCATGCGGAGAATACTATTCTACGGGAGAGCTTGACTAGCGTGGGACACACGGTCAGAGTTCTGGCAGTGATTCTCAGGAGTGAACTTAGTTGCCTTGTGCATGTTTTTACTAAACGTGTTCAACTATGAACGTTGTAAACCCGAGCAACTACCAACTCATGGGAAATATGCATGTGTTTGTCGTTTCACCTGCCGTGGAACTACCAACTAAGTTCACTCCTGAGAATCACTGCCAGAACTCTGACCGTGTGTCCCACGCTAGTCAAGCTCTCCCGTAGAATAGTATTTTCCGCAACGTCGACCTCGGAGGCGTCGACTTGGTGACGCCGACTTGGAGAACTTGTTGGTCGCCAGGGTTGCCCGGTCGACCAGGTTACCCGGGCGACGGGGTTCAGAGGAGTAGCGCGACAGTCCCCCAGGTGGTTGTGGCGAAGCCGACCTCGGTGGTGGTATCCCAAGGTCGACATGGTTGATTAGGTGCAGTCGTCAGCACAATGACGATCTGTTGCCTGTGCTGTGCAAGTGACAAGTTATAGCACGCCATTCATCTGCGAGCATTTGCAAAGCGGGTGCGCTCCTGTCCTTCATGTGCAACGTTATGCAGCCGCTCTGCTGCACCATTGGCACGCCGTCGACTTGCAGTGTTGGCAGGCCGCGAATTTGCACTGCTTGAGCGCGGTCAACCATGTCGTGCTGGAATGCAGTCGACCGTGCTGCGCTGACAGTCGACCTACTTGCATGCTAGCATCTGATGTGGCCATTGTTGCCAATGCTGTTCTAACTATTGTTGTGAACTTTTGCTAGTGAAACTCTTGCCAAATCTCCTCGTGAATGCGCAAGTAGAGAAAGCTCAAGTGAACGACTAAGGAACGAATGCTAAGATCACTCCTATCCCGTGCCTTCCCCGTAGTCAAGCTCCCGTTGCTAGAGTTATCTCTGCAGCAAGATCGTCGGATCGATTGTGGTCTTTCGAGATGTTGGGGTGGTATGCGTAGTAAGTGTGACTCAGTAAGGAATATGATTTTTCTTTACAACTTAAGTTCTACGCGTAATAAGTGTACAGATTTAGGCGTTATGGAATTGTCGGCGGCTTGAACTCTGAGCTCCGGAGTTCTGTTGACGCGAAGACGACCTTTTGATTGGCCGACTGGTTCGGTTAGTGAGACCAAACCTCGAGTACCAAACCTGCTACCCCCTACTTGACACCAAGCGAAGGAGGGGTGCTCAAGCTTCGGCTCACAACGAACCCCTCCAGCCTTGGGAGCTCCCGAGCCTCGAGAGTACATTGATGAAAAGCCTCGGCACTTGATAGAGCCTCGGGAACACATCGAACCTGCTGTGCTGCTCATCAGCGTGGCGCAGAAGGCAGCAATATCAGGGACGGCCTCCTTAGATGGCGTTGCGGTGGGGATCAGTGGATGGGGACAGGGAGGTCAGCCAGGTATGGAGGGCCAAGGGACTAAGGCTTTTCTCCTCTGCCGTGTTCTAGTGGTTTAGGGCGACGTCAAATGAGAGTTTGCGGGGTGGGAGAAGCAGGCTTGAGGCCAAGAACATCGCAGGCTAGGGCAGGGACACAGCAAGAAGAACAGCAACTCCCACCCCGTTCTTTCGTCCAGGAGTTTTGACCGAAAGACGCCGACTTTCGATAGGTCAAAATAGCATCTTGTTTTCTGTAGCCGCTAACCAGTGCAAGCTCGTGCCAGTGGCGCGACTACCGTACGACTCAGAAAATGTTTGCGCGGCCGCCATGGCGCGACGCACCGCGTGGAGAACCCGCCGACGCCGCACTGCAGTCTCTCCCCTCCGCGGCTACATTCGGCGCCTCATATTCTCCCTCATCCTCGCCGCTCTCCTCCTCTGCGCGGCCCTGCCCCGCGTCGTGCTCGCCTGCGACGCGATCCAAGCCGAGCCATTGCCTTCGCTCGCCGCTCACCTCTCCGCCCCGCCATCGCCAATCAGCCACGGCGCGGAGTTTCGGGAGTTACCTCCGGCACGTGTCGCCGGCGGTGGGGTCCGGGGCGACGAGAGCGAGCAGGGTGATAGCGAGCGGCGAGCTACACGACACGGCGCGTCGTTGCTGCTGCTGCCGGGGCAGGAAGGGCTGGGGCAGGAAGAAACGAGCGACTGGGGGAGGGCAGTCGTCGCGCGGGCAAGAATGGGAGACGCAGCGGCAGCAGCGGCAGAGGGGTCAGCGGCAGCGACGGCAGTGTCCGTTCCAGCGGAGCCGTCAACGGCGCACTGTTACTGCCCTAGCGACGACTGGGACGACACTGGCGAAAACTGGCACGACACGCGCGACGACTGGCAGCACAACGCGGAGGCATGGGCAGCGGAGGACGCGCGTGGGGCTGGGATGGGTGAGTCAGGCCGCGGCAGCGATGCGGGCGTCGTAGCGCGAGGAGAGGGCGACAGCGCAGGGCCGGCAGCAGGGGCGCTACGGCTGCCTAACGAGAGCGCGCGGCCGCTCGGCGTGCGGATGGTGGTCGAGGCGGGCGGCAGGCATGGCAGCGACAGCAACGCGGGTGAGGAACGGCGCAGCGACGGGCTAGACAGGGGGGGTCTGCACCCGCGCCGAGGGGCGGGTGAACCGGAGACGGCAGGAGCGATGGCAGTGTGCGACGGGATGCGCGGGTGTGCGGCCGGAGCGGAACAAGCAGTGGGTTTGCTCTTGCCCACGTCGCAGGTCACGCACCCCGGGACCGTTCACTCAGAGCGCCCTCATGCGCTTCTACTCAGTGCGCAGTCCGATCAAGGGGCCTCTGCGCTTATCCAGAGCGTCGCCTCTCCAGCCCTCCCCGCGTATAGCATCCTAACGGCGCCGCCGGCCAGTGCGCGCGTCAGCGGGAAGGGGATAAGGAAGCATGTGAGGAGCGAGCAGCGGCGCCTGCTCGCGCTCTACGCGCGCCACATGTCCGGACCTGGCCGCTGGGTCGGGCCTCTACCGGACGTTCCAAACGGCGGGTCCTGGGTCTTTGCGCCGCTGCGCTCCCCCCTGCACGTGCGCTCCTTGGCGCAGATTCCCCGCAGCTTCCCCCTGTTCGACGCGGAAGCCGCCTGCCGGCTGTCTCTCGTGGTCACCGACGCGGACTCCTTCCGCCGATGGCTGCCCGAATCGCCGCCGAACGCCACTGGCGCAACCACCGTGGCGGACGACGAGCAGCCACGGAATTCAAGTTCGCGCGCGCTCTCCGTTCCTCCCGCGCCTCCTGCGCCTCACGCGCCCCCGCAGCCGCCACCCGCGCATGCAGTGGGCGGAAGGCGGAGCGACGCTGCGCCGCTGGTGGTGCTGAGCACGAGCACTTTCTCCACTGGCGCGGGCGCGGGGGGGATCGCGGGGAAGCAGGGCACCGTGGTGCAGCTGTGGGCGGAAAGAGACGACCACGAGGGGGGAGGGCAGGCGGACCTGGGGCTTGAACTGGGGTTGAGACCGGGGCTGGGACTGGGGTCGGGAGGGGAAGGGCAGCGCGCGGAGCAAGGGGCGGAGGCGGGTGCTTGGGGGGCGGGGAGCGGGGAGAGGAGGAGCTTGCTGGCAGCTGACGTCTGCAGAGGCTTGGGGGGCTGGCGAGACCAGGGGGATGACGAGGCGAGTGGAGGGCTGGTAGGGTCTGGGAGTGGGGAAGATCTGGGAAGAGAGAGCGGGGCGGAAGGCGGGGAGGCGGATGCGGGCGCGGGCGTGGGTAGTGAGGGGCGGGAGTGGGTGTTACGGTGGACGATGTGGAACGTGCATGGCACGGATGGCGCTACGGATGACTGGGCGCCGGGGGACGACAGACTGGCCGCTGATTGGCCGGCGCTGGACGCAGGCGAGGCGGCGAGGCTGGATGCGCTGATTGCGACGCAGCTGGGCAGGGAAGGAGGGGCAGTTGGGGGGGAAAGGGGAGCGGGAGGGGAACGGAGACAGTTGAAGGATGCGCATGGGGGCGAGATGGCGATAGCGAGTGAGTTCAAGGCTGGGGTTGACGCGGAGAGGGGTAGGCGACTCATGGAGGGAGAAGCAGGGGTGTCCTTGCATGCCAACGCGCAAGGGGCTGGCTCACAGGCCGGCGAGCTAGCCTCCTCCTCTAAAATGCACACGGACACTGGTGGTGCCGTGGTGACGACTCATCGTGCACCACCACCTGGTACCGCTTTGCAAACCCCTCCGCCGCGGACGAGCCAGCGGTCGTTGGACGTGAAGGTGGCCAAGGAGGAGATCGAGGCGGCGATCGCGGCAGCACTGGCAGCGGCGCACGAGCAGCGCGTGCTACTGGCGCTCAACATCTTTGCGCCCGTCGTGCGCGTCGTCGCCCCCCACATGCCCCCCATCACGCTCGTAGAGCGCCTCGCCAAGGCGCGCTCGCTGCACCCGCTGCTCGCGCACCTGCTGCGCCTAGACGTGCGGATACACGAGGTGGAGCTGGTGGTGCGCACGGAACCCGCGCCTCCGCCTCCGCCCGCGAGCGGAGTGCGCGGGAGCAACCTGTCCGCGCTCACGCGGGGGCATTTCGATGTGTGGAGCGTGGGGAGCGGGAAGCAGCTGGCGGCAGGGAAGGTGCTGCAGCAGTGGGACGCTTATGATGTCATGAATGTCACGTCTGGGGATGTAGGCCGTGACTGGCGCTTCTCCTCTTTAGCGTATAACTTTGAGCCTGTTAAGCCTCCGCGACCGCCGCCCCCGCCCTCCCCGCCGGCCCCCCCTCCGCCCCCGTCCCCTCCGCCGTTTCCCCCGCCTGCGCCCTCGCCCCCTCCGCCGTCCCCTCCGCCTCCCGCCCCTCCGCCCCCTCCTTCGCCCCCGCCTTCGCCTCCGCCGCCCAGCCCGCCTCCCCAGCCGCCGCCCCCTAGCCCGCCGCCTTCTCCTCCCCCTCCGCCCCAGCCCCCACCGTCACCCCCACCATCTCCGCCACCCTCGCCCCCACCAAACCCTCCGCCCCCACCACTGCCCCCCTCTCCGCCCCCTCCTTCTCCCCCTCCCTCACCGCCTCCGCCTTTTCCGCCTCCTCCTTCCCCTCCGCCCAGCCCCCCTCCCTCCCCGCCCCCACCTTCGCCCCCACCTCCGCCATCTCCACCGCCCCCCTTCCCCCCTCCGTCGCCTCCCCCGCCCTCACCTCCTCCCCCAAGCCCTCCCCACCCACCTCCCTCCCCTCCCCCATCTCCCCCGTCCCCGCCTCCGTTCCCCCCTCCCTCACCTCCTCCCTCACCTCCTCCCTCTCCCCCTCCCCCTTCCCCTCCCCCTCCTCGCCCTCCTTCCCCGCCTCCTCACCCACCACCCCCGAACCCTCCCCCCTCTCCACCCCCGCCGTCCCCACCTCCACCGTCCCCCCCACCGCCCCCTTCCCCCCCTCCCCCTCTCGCGCCCCTCTCCCCCGCAGACGCGCGCCTGGGAATCATCCAATCCCTGGGCGAGTGGCAGAGGGCAATAGCAGCGCAGCAGCTCACGGCAGCAGCCGAAATCTTCTCCCCCACGTGCCTCCTCCTCGCGCCCACCCTCCCACTCCTCACCCTCACCTCCCTCTCCGACCGACTCTCTGCACTCCAGCTATTACCACCAGGGTGCGGCACAGAGCAGCTATTTGCAGCGGTGCTGGCGGTGGGGGTGTTTAACGGGGTGGGGGATGACAGCGACCAGGGCGGGGCGTATCTGGTGCTGAGCACGGGTGTGTTCAGCTTCTCTGCGCCTGATGGTGCAGTGCTGGAGTCTGCTAATGCTGTTGCGCTCTGGGAAGTGCGGGACAGGGCGCGGGGGGTGCAGGGGCATGGCTGGGGCACCGTCAGGGGTAGGGGTACTGGCAGGGATAGGGATGTGGTAGAAGCTGCAGCGAATGGGGAGGTGGTGGGAGCGGGTGGGATTAGAATGGTGAGTGGTGGGGGGGGAGGGTTGTCGGATGGGGTATCAGTTGGGGTATCGGATAGAGGGGATGGTATGCATCAGGCAGCGCACATCAGGCAGCTGTTTCAGGAAGAGGTGAACCGTCGGCGGCTGCAGGAGCAGGGGCAGGGGCAACAGACGCAGCAGGAGGGGCAGCAGCAGCAGCAGCAGCAGCAGCAGCAGCAGTGGTGGTGGCGGCCCCAGGGGGCGAGTCAGAACGGCCAGCTGTGGTCTGCGCGAGTGGTGGTGTGGAACTCGAGGCTCTCAGCCTTCCCCCCTGGACGCGGACAAGGCACGGGCATAGAGGACGCACTTAACCTGCTCTGGCTCCTCCCTCCCCTCCCACCCTCCCCTCCCCTCTCTACCTCCGCCCCGCCTCGCCTCTCCCTCTCACCTGTACCTTCGGGGCCTCTTCCTTTGGTCTCACTGCAGCCGTCTGTTGCACGAGCAGTGGCAGCACCACCTATCCCTGCTGCGGCCTCCCTTGAACCACGCGCGCCGCCACAGCCTGTGCTTCCACTGGTGCTTCCGCAGGTGGCGCGGGAGGGAGGTGCAGGGCTGTGGAGTCAGGCAGTGGGGAAGGGCGTGCTGCTGCAAGGGACGACGAGGGGGGAATACGCAGCGGCGCAAGAAGAGCAGGAGGCACGGGCACAGGCGCACGGGCTGGCGGACAGGGGGGAGGGGTCGAGGGGAGGGCTGATGCTGGTGGGTGAGAGCAGGCAGCTTGCAGAGGGGATGGGTGTGAGGAGACGCGTGCAGCTGGAAATGGGCATGGCAGGGCAGGGAGAGCTGGAGGTAGGGTGGGGAGTAAGGGTGGAGGAAGGAAGAAGGGACGGAGGGCACAGGGCGGGGGCTTGGGGCAAGGAGCGGGGGGAGATGCTGATAGAGCAGGTGGATGGTGTGTGCTGGGTGCACGCACAGCAGCGGGGCGCGCAGGGGGATCCGCAGCAGCAGGGGCGAGGGGAGGCGTTTGGGGTGGAACGGTGGGGCAGGGGAGCAGGTGGGAGGGCAGGGTGGGAGAGGTGGGTGCGGCGGGTGATGCGGGCGGTGGCACGGGTGGTGGTGGGGGGCGTGGTGTGGTGGCAGCAGGCTCGGGAGATTCTTCCCGTGCTTGGATCCTTGCAGTATGACAGTGGCGTGCAGAGGCTGGGGTGGGGAGTGGGGGGATGTGGAGCAGGGGAGGGGTGTAAGAGCAGTGGCAGTGATGGTGTGAGGGAGCAGAGGGGAGGCATACAGCAGCATGGGCATAGGGTAAAGGCACCGTTGCTCATTGTGCCGTTTGCAGGGCCGGGGGCGATCAGTCGCAGCAGGAAGGATGCTGGTTTGGAAACAGTAGGGGGAGCAGGACAAGGAGGCTTCATGCATGCAAGCATCAGCAGGCTTCACAGAACTGCTTCCGAAGCCGGTACCACACCGCCATGGCCCCTCATGCATGGCACAGCAAGCACCGCTGCTGCCTCTCTCCCCGCTGCTCCCTTCCCCACCTCTCCCCCACCATCTCCCCACACCAAGCCACCGTCTTCCCCAAACACCAAGCCACCGGTTCCCCCAGCCGCCCCCCGGTCGCCGCTGGAAGCCAACGCATCGGCCATCAGGGGGGAGATTGCTCTCTCGCTGCACTGCTGGCGGCAGCACGTGCAGGGGGGGATGAGCAGCGTGCTGCTGCCATCTTCGCCCCAGTCACCTCCGTCACTGCTCCCGGCCACGACCCCCTACTGCTCCCAGACCTGCCCTCCAAACTCACTGCGATTAAGCCCTTTCTGGAGGGGCGAGCGGTGGTGACAGTGCGGTTGGGCGCGGTTCAGGTGGTGAAGCGGGGCGTGCAGGCGGGGCAGGCGGTGGCAGTGGTGGCGCAGGGGGAGTTTGAGCTGAGCTGGCGAGGGGAAGCGGAGCAGGAGTGGAGATTACCAGGCAAGGGAGTGATGCTGTGGGAACCCAGAGAGGCACCGGCTGTAACAGGGTGGCCGGAGGGAGAGACACCTTGGGAAGGGAAGATGGCTGTTGATGCTGCTGGGGGAGTTGGCACAGTTGGTGGGAAAGGTGGTTGGGGTGTGGGGGCACGGGTTGAGGGTGAGTGTGGAGGGGACGAGAGGCAGTGGATGGTGCGCATGGCCATCTGGAACTATGACTATGAGGGCCCTCCGCCCATTGCTCCCTCGCCTCCTCCCCCGCCACCCAACTTGCCGCCTCCCAACCCTCCGCCATCCTCCCCTTCCCCCCCCTCCCCTTTTCCCTCCGCCCCCTTCTCCCCCTCCGCTTTCTCCCCCTCCCCCTTCCCCCTCTCCCCCTTCTCCTCCCCCTTCTCCGCCCCCCCTGCTCCGCCCCCCCCTGCTCCTCCTCCCGCTTCCCTCCCTCCCCCTTCTCCCCCTCCGCCTTCCCCCCCTCCCCCTGCCCCGCCTCCCTCTTCTCCTCCTCACCCTCCACCACCCTCCTCTCCCCCAAATTCTCCTCCCCCACCATCCCCTCAACCGCAGCCCCCATCTCCACCATCTCCCAATCCACCCTACGCCCCTCCTCCACCCACTCTCCCCCCTCCATCTCCTCCTCCTCCCCCCTCTCCCTTACCCCCCCATCCTCCCCCCCCTTCTATCCCTCCTCCATCCCCCCCACCATCTCCTCCTCCCCCCCTCTCCACCTCCGTCACCACCCCCTCCCCTTCCCCCATCTCCTCCCCCGCCCTTTCCCCCTCCACCCTCTCCGCCCCCGTCCCCCTCCCCCCCCCCCACCACCTCCATCTCCCCCTCCGTCTCCCCCTCCCCCCTCTCCCCCTCCCCCTCCATCTCCCCCCCCTTCTCCCCCTCCCCCCCCCTCTCCTCCATCCCCCCCACCGTCTCCCCCCTCCCCCTCTCCCCCCCCTCCATCTCCCCCACCTCCATCTCCCCCCCCTCCATCCCCCCCTCCTCCATCTCCCCCCCCTCCATCTTCCCCCCCTCCATCTCCCCCCCCTCCGTCTCCTTCTCCCCTCTCTCCTCCTCCTCCTTCTCTTCCCCCTCCCATACCCCCCTCCTCTCTCTCCTTTTCCACCACCTCCTCTCTCTCCTCCTCCTCCCTCTCCTCCTCCTCCCTCTCCTCCTCCCTCCCTTTCCTCCTCCTCCCTCCCCCCCCACCTCCCTCTCCTCCTCCTCCCTCCCCTCCTCCTCCCTCTCCCCCACCTCCCTCTTCTCCTCCTCCCTCCCCTCCTCCCTCTCCTCCTCCTCCCTCTCCCCCTCCTCCCTCACCTCCTCCTCCCTCTCCTCCTCCCTCTCCTCCTCCCTCTCCCCCCCCTCCTCCCCCCCCCCTCCTCCTACTCCTCCTCCCTCTCCTCCCCCCTCTCCCCCTCCTCCGTCTCCCCCTCCTCCCTCTCCCTCTCCCCCTCCTCCATCCCCCCACCTCCCTCTCTCTCCCCCTCCTCCCTCTCCTCCTCCTCCCTCTCTCTCCTCCTCCGTCCTCCCCCTCCCCCCCCCTCTCCTCCCCCATCTCCTCCCCCGCCCTCTCCTCCACCCCCCACCCCTTCCCCCCTGCCCCCCCTGTCCTCCCCCCAGGCGCAGGCCTCCTCCTCCTCGTCCCCCATTCCCCCCTCCTCTTCCCCTTCCCCCCCCACATCTCCCTCCACTTCCCCCTCCGCCCCCTTCCCCAGTAATTCCAACATCTCCACCTCCCTCGCCTCCTCTCCCCCTCGCCACCTCCTCCCTCCCCTCCTCCTTTTCCTCCTCCCTCCCCTCCTCCTTCTCCCCCTCCCTCTCCTCCTCCTTCTCCTCCTCCCTCTCCTCCTCCCTCTCCTCCTCCCTCTCCCCCTCCATCTCCCCCACCTCCCTCCCCTCCTCCTCCCTCCCCTCCTCCCTCTCCCCCTCCCTCTCCTCCTCCATCTCCCCCTCCCTCTCCCCCTCCCTCTCCTCCTCCCTCTCCTCCTCCCTCTCCTCCTCCCTCTCCTCCTCCCTCCCCTCCTCCTCTCCCCCTCCCTCTCTCCTCCATCCCCCCACCCCCTCCACCCCCCACCCCCTTCCCCACCTCCCCCCTCCCTCCCCCTCCCCTCCTCCCTCCCCCCTCCTCACCCCCTCCCTCACCCTCACCCCTCCTTCTCCTCCTCCCTCCCCTCCTCCCTCTCCCCCTCCCTCTCCTCCTCCATCCCCCCCACCCCCCTTCCCCACCTCCCCCCTCCCCCCCCCCTCCCCCCCCCCTCCCCTCCCCCCTCCCCTCCTCCCTCCCCTCCCTCACCCCCTCCTCACCCCTCCTTCTCCTCCTCCCTCCCCTCCTCCTTCTCCTCCTCCCCTCCCCTCCTCCCCCCCTCCTACTTCTCCCCCTCCCTCCCCTCCTCCTCCCCCCCACCTTCCCCCTCCTCCCTCCCTCTCCTCCGCCTTCTCCTCCTCCCTCCCCCCCCCTCCCTCCCCCCCTCCATCTCCCCCTCCTCCTTCCCCTCCTCCTCCCTCTCCCCCCCCACCATCACCACCACCTCCCCCATCCCCCCCTCCGCCTTCCCCTCCTCCCCGTCCTCCCCCATCCCCCCCTCCTCCCCATCCCCCGCCTTCTCCTCCCCCACCGTTCCCTCCTCCATCCCCTCCTCCACCTCACCCACCTCCCCCCTCTCCCCCTCCGCCTCCCCCCCCATCCCCCCCGCCACTCCCCCGTATGGCTGGTGGTGCGCCCTCTGGCCCTGGACCTGCCTAGCCCCCCCCCTGCCTCCCTATGCTGCCCCCCCACCACCTTCCCCCCCGCACATCCCGTCCCCCGGCCCTCCTTTCCCACCGCGCCCCTCTGGTCCCCCTCCCCCACCGGACCCCTGTCACCCCCCACCCCCTCCCCCGCCTGGTGGGGGGGACGAGCCTGCTGCCTGGTGGTGTGCCCTCTGGCCCTGGCGGTGCATGCCCCCCCCACCCTCCTCTTCCCTCCCCTCTCCTCCTCACCCTCCATCCCCTCCTTTCCCCCACCCTTGCTCACCTCCACCTCACTTCCCCTCTCCGCCGCACCCCGCTGCTTCCCCACACCCCCCTCCCCCGCACCCTCGCCTTCCCCCTGCCCCGCCCCCCCCTCCCATGCCCCCAAAGCCCCCACCTCCGCCATCGCCTTCCCCCCCGCCCCCTCTTCCCCCGTGGCAATGCTCTCTGTATCCCTGGTTACCGGAATGCAAGCTGGGGGAAAGGCGCTCTGTGGACGGTATGGGGCAGCTGCAGACAGGAGGAGCAGAGGAAGGGGCGGAAGAGAACATTCACGGCGTGGCTTCACCTTATGCAGAGAGCCAGGCTGTGCTGCAGGTGCCTCGCTCCCCTGCTGCTGGTGCAAGCGGGCCAAGCAGGACTGGCAGCAGCGGCAGCAGCAGTAGCAGAAGGATGGATTCACCAAACCTGCTGCTGCTGCAGCAGGTGGCAGCACCTGTTCGGTCAGGACAACTGTCGAGTGGGGTTAAGGGGGCTCATTCGGGAGATGAACAGCAGAGGAGCAGGGGAGGAGAGCAGGTGGAGTGGGTAATGCAGGAGGGCGTGGAGGGTGAGGGAGCGCACCCTTCAGGCCATGGCGTGAGTTCTGTGGCCGATGAGATGGTGGTCTGTGGTGAGAGGACTGGGGCGGACTCAGGGAAGGCATGTGGTGGAAGTGAGAAGTTACGCCCATTGCAGAGTGCTGTTGCACAAGCGTACATGGGGAAGGAGGTGTTGCTGTTGCCGAGCCAGAAATTAAAGGTGCAGGAGCCAAGTGCAGCAGCAGGTGGTGGGTCTATTGCAGGTTTAGATGTGGGGAAGAGCGTGCAGCAGGACAGGGACATGGTGCAGGTTGCACAGTCCACACAGCAGCAGGTGCTGCGAAAGGAGGAGAGGTTGATGTCGCCACAGCAGGTGCAGCTGGAACAAGCAGAGCACGCGTCGGTGTGGCCGCTGCTGTTATCCTGGTGGGCTGAAGAGTTACTCACAGAGTGGGCGGAGCAAGTGAGTGTGGGATCATGCTCAGACAACCACAAGGGCAGGTATGGACAGGCAAGACTTTTAGCATCGCTTTAGAGTACATTCCGCTGTGGACATGTCCAGAAAGGAAGTGTCACAAACATTATTTGTGACTAATTGTGGTACTCCGAATACCGTACAATGTTCGTAACTAATTGTGATACACCGATAGCCTAATCGCAACAAATTGCGACCCAAATTATCAGGGTAAAATTCCCTTTTTGCCCTGATGGTACGTATGCTGCTTTTTCCCAGTTACCCTTGCAAAAACAGGGTATCAAAATTTTTACCCTAGAGCAAACAGGCTAAGTTTTGAGCGACGAAACGGAGCCTAAGGGACGGGCGTCTCGGGCGCAACTAAGGGAGGAAGCGGAAGCGTGGGAGGGAAAAAAAAACCTACTCTGATACCATCTTAAAGCCTAGGAACCAATGTCGAAAGAATTGTGGTGTGAGTGGGAACAAGGCATACAAAAAGCAACCCTAAAAAGGTTCTACTCTAGGCCAAATTTTATCAGTGTAAATCACCCTGATACCCTGATAATCAGGGTGGTTTTTGGTAGCCACACTGATGCCTTAAGGTAAAATTTTCAGGAGATAGGCTTTCCCTGATATGCCAGGGTTTACGTTTAAGGCACACTGACGACCAGGGTTACCGTTAGTGTTAACGAGTTTTAGGCACACTATCCAGTTCACGACAAAGAGATGCTAGCCACCATCTACGCATTTTGTACCTGACACAGCTAACTCACGGGAGCCGACGTTATGATCAGGACAGACCACAAGTCATTACAGTACATGCTCAGCCAGCCACAGCTCAACTCGCGACAAATTAGGTGGCTCGACTAGCTTGAATCAAATTTCCGGTACACCATCACGTACAAGAAGGGCGCCAACAACATCGCCGACGCCCTAACCCGCCCATCAACAAAGACCACCGCTGTACTCATCACCCACTCCAACCTGCTTTTATCGGGACTATTCACCCACGGATACAAAACTGACCGCTTCTTAAGGCGAAATAAACACCACCGGGCCATGACGCAACACGGAAACTATTACCTAAAAGCTGGTATGAACCGAGTTTGGGTCCCGTAATACCGGCCCTTACAAGAATTGCTGACGCTCATGACTCTAACCTCTCCGGGAATTTCGACATCAACAAAACACTCAATCTGCTGAAGCGAAATTATTATTGGCTTGTGTCAAACTTCATGCATGC